TCCGCCGCCCCACGCCCCACACACAACCCCACACCCCCGCACCCGCGCACCCAGTTGCGCACCCCACACCCCAGACCCCACAACCCCATGCTCCATGGTTGTTCATTAGATTGGATTTCGGGGCTGCTTCATTTCACACCAAGCTCAGAGGCTGCGGGCCCTGCACAAGATACCCATCTCCAAAGTGCCCCAGCAGTTTCTATTGCAACCTATTGTAATTCCCCAGCTATAGAAGCAGCGATGCTGTTGGCACACTTCTAGCTGTTCGATCAAACCACCTTTTTTGAGCATCGCTCTTGTGGCTCGCGGTGATCTGGACTGAGGAGGCATCTCTACGGTGCCGCCCGCGATGGCAACCTCGAAACACAGGCTGAGCTGATGGTTCGAGGCGAGGTTCCGGCAAACGTCAGTTCTGAGATGTTCTGGGATGTGGTGAGTGCCACCAGGCCGATTACCGGCGAGTACATGGACCGGCTCTTTGGCACGCCGCCTAGCACCTGACTCGCACAGGACAGCTGTTCTAGAGGCCTGAAGTTGGGAAGCCTGTGGCGATGCTTGCCTGCCTTGCCTGCCGTCTAAGTTGGTTCATTTCACTCAGCGTGCCGTGGTTCGTGGGGGTCCTGGCTTTGGCTTCGAGATTTGGATGCGGTAGGGGCGATGTCACGAAAGGTGTCGACCTGAAAGATGCCATGGTGGCAGAATCCATGAAGTGATCACCCCACTGGCAGTGCTCCTCATTTTGACGACGCAAGAGAAGCTTTTGCTCTAGGGCCATTCTGAAAGTGCGGCTGCACCGTGGACTCTACCTTGGCTGGCCAGCACCCAAAGTCGGAGCTGATGCATGAAGATGCGTCCGAGTTCACACCGGCCTCTTGACATCGCCTTGGAGGTATGCTAACCAGAACGTGACTGTCCTGGTCCAGCTCGCAGGCGAACGCGGCGGTGAGGATGCTTGCAGACATTCCAGCCCCAATCCGGATCAGAGCTCTGGCTGTTCCAGAACTTTGCATGCAATGAAATCAGCGAGTGCGGTCATCGACTCTGCAGGCTGCTACCAGGAAGCGAAGTCGAGCAATGGCTGGTCCTCTGCCCGGAGACTTTCGTCAAGTCTTCAGACGCAGACGGTGGCTTTTGCATCCGTGCTGTCAAGGCCGAGGAAGAATGCCAATCTGCTGTCCTTTCCCGGCAAGGTTCCTCTGCGCCTTGCTCATTTTCGACCCTGTCCTCGTGAGTGATCTTCAACTACAATGCTCGGTCTTGTGATCGGGATTCTTTTCCCACCTCGAGCGTCTCTCGTGCTACCGCTTCCAGTCTGCTGCAAGACTGCACTGCCCGTCTCCATCTCTTACGCAAAGCTTTGGGCAGTATTCGCAGACTCGGATCCAGAGGGTAGTATCAGAAACCACCACGGTACCCTCCGTGGTCTTGTACTGGTAAGGAATCGCACACGCCAACATCATCAACTCGGTACCGATTTGTACATGCCTGCGTGTCCTCCACTCCGCCGTCATTGCATCTTGTAGCCAGCTCCTGTCTAATTGGAGGTCTCTGCGAAGGGACTTCTGCAGTTTGTCGACGATACGCCAAAGGGAGGCAGCCTTGCTGCAACAGCTTTGCAGCGTGTCCTGCAATGCTCTACACAGTTGCAGGACTGTTCTCCAGTCAGGCGGGTTTGTACACATTCACCAAATTCGCCGAAGCTTTTGGTTCCTGCCGTTGTCATCGTTTCCAGGATTCGCTGCCGGCGTGGGTTGAAAGACAAACCTCCAAGGTGCCATGAGCTTGGCATGTGTGGCACCCTTCCGTACTGCTGGAGAGGTGATGAATCTGCCGAAAGATGTCAGCCATGCTTACCTCTACATTGTCAGCAATGGTGACGAGGAGAATTGCTGCGCATTGTCAGTTGGTCCTGTAATCGTTGACCTTCACAGTCTCAGGATTTGCCACCTTTGGCATGGGCGAAGTTCCCGATTTCCGTGCCAATGTCTTAGTGAAACCATTTTCGCTAACGTTTTGTCGAGAGCTCGGGCATGCATGAACTTGCAGATATTGGGCAGAGGCACGCGCTGAACAGGGCGCAGTGGACACCAGTGAGATTCGACCAATCAGTCGTCAAGCTGTTTGGGACCCGGAGATCAAAGCTGAAACTTCTCGAGAGATGATACTTTGCAGCTGCAATTCCATGGCTGGTGCCGTCCTGCATAACCTTGCACGTCAAGCACTGCTCAGGAACGGCAGCAAGTCGTACCATGAAGACATGGCAGGTGGAGAATGTTCATGGCACACTTGCATCGGCTTCCTCAGGTGGAGAACACGATCATTATGATGTTCAGCCTCTTGTCGCCAGGAATGCTTCTTGGGAGCGTCTGCATACAAACTGGCGAGGAGCCGGGGTTCAGGGCGGGAGCTGGTTGAATTGTTTATTGCGATGCACGATGTGGTTTGTCGTGTCTCCTTTCTCTCCAGTCTTGCGCCTGTCCGGTGCGATCTCCCGTCCTATACTGGTAGCAAGAGATACTGGCGTGTTAACCTAAGCAGGAGATTCAGGAACTGTGTTCGGAAAGCATGCTGGGGGAATTCAGAATCGATTCGGAAAATAGGAGCTCTGAGCCAAAACTAGAACCTTCGGGGTTCAGGGTAAAGACAGATCTAGAAGCAGCCGTGTCTGCAAGATAGCTACATGAGAGCACGGAGAGCGCCGAGGGAGAGGAGATCACAACGGGAGCCTTCGCGAATTGCCTCTTCGACGAACACGCTTTAAACATCGCTCTTCAATGGTCTGGTCCTCGCGTGCGTTGAACAAAATGCCGGTGCAGTGAACCGTGTCGGGGACGGTCGCGGGGCGGGCATTTTTAGTTGCCAGAAAACAGAGGGGGAGGAGGGGTGGGGCGGGGGAGGGCGTGGGGGACTGCTGGGACACGCCCCAAACTGCGGGGCGACCCGGGACTCAGCCCGAGGACATGAACGGATCCTAACCGGACCCCGCAATACCAGAAAAAGAGAGAACAACAACTCGATGACAGTCGATCTGGGATCAAAGCGCCCTAGGCCCCCGGTCTCACCCTCGCCGGATGAGACGTGGGTTGAGTGTCCCGTGTTCTTTGTGTTTGCCAAAGTTCCCCCATCAGGAGGAAGACCTGAACTCGTCAGATACTCAGAGCCCAGAGTGACTGAGGCATGAGCAACACTGGTCTTGTACTGGAGCCCGTTGACGAGCCACAAGCCAATTTGGACTGTTGGCGGGCATCGTTTCTGATCCGTTCTCTTTTGCTGGTGTGGATGCGGCCTGCCGATTGCTTACCGATCCCTGTCGTCTGCGTGCTTCTTGCAAGTTTCCTTTGTCTTCACGGTCGTTCCCAGGTACCCTGTCAATGTAGTTTCATTTGACCTTGCACTCTTGCAGTGCCGTCTCAGGAACCGTGCCGTTCCTTCTGGACGTCCTGCTCCCATTGACCCGGTGGAATCAGTAAAGGAGGTCAAGGTGCTCAAACTCAAACTGTCTAGTCACGACTGGATTGAAGGGGTGGAGGGCCTGTGACCTCCAACCGGAGGACAAACCCGAGCCTGAGATAAGAGAGGAGGCTCCAGTGGTGCCACAGCCCCAGATTTCTCCGGACATGACTCTTGAAGCCACCTTAGTGAGACATCTCAGGACGCGACCTTTCTCTTTGTTGTGCTCTGCGGTGGCGTGCGGCACAGATTTTCGGATCCAATCTCTGGGGCTTCTGACTGCTCTGGTTCTGAGGGGGAGACGCAGTTGAACGTGGGCTCTCGGGGCAAGGTGACGACTGCTCTTGGTGATGAGCTGAGACCCACTCTTTTGCGACGCTGGAGAACTCCGAGTTGAGCTCTGGCCTTCTGACACCAGGACAGGTAGAGACAAAGAAGGCCAGCAGTGATTCTGCAAGATTTGTTTGCTTTGTGCCACGGCCCTCAGTCCAAACTCAAGCCATATTCTATGTGCATCCTTAATGATGCTCAGGGAGTTTCTGTAATCAGGGTTGAGCTCGATGCGGAGGATGGGACGTCACAGTTGTTCCGGCGTGACTCAGGGATGGAAGGGAGTTTCTTCTACTCATACGTGCCACCCTGCCAGCCGGTCGCTTCTTGACGGGCCGTTGGCTCTGCTAGCGGAGGTGTACATCCACCTCGATGTGCTGGCAGCCAGGTCATTGCCGTCTGGTGACGAGGTGCTGAATGCCGATGCGCCCACCACATCTGAGTTTGGCACAACCGACTGTGCGGTGTGGCTCTTGGGTGCAGGATGGAGTTCCCGATGCTTGCTATGAGGTGAAGGCTTCCGGTCGCATTGAATACAGGAATGTGCGGTGCAACTCGTTCGACCATCTGAATCCGTGTCTGAGCTGTGCCGTGGACCGGAAGGTCGGGGATCAGACAGCTCTGCTTCACGAGAAAGATCCCTTCTGCCGCTTGACTGTGCCCGATTCCATACTTCCTTTCGGTTGATCAACACCAAATCCAGCTAAGTCCTCTGCCTACAGTTTCGGAAGCTTTTCTTCGGATGGCCCGCCTTGCGCGGAGTGAGCCTTTGTGGGTGTCATCATTCTGAACTACTTGTAGCTGCAGAGGTCGTCAGACTGAGGATTTGCAGGAGCGTGTTTGCGGGTGTGACAGGGTGGGTTCCATCTACTTCAACTTTCTGAAAGAACATGGCAAGCGAGCTTGCACACCCACTTCAACTCAGGCTCCTTGGATCCAGTTTTTATGGATCGCCTCACGATCGGGCCAGTCGAAGCCGAGGCACTGATTCGAGTGCATCGGACGAGACTGAATGGCAGCTTCAATTTCTAGGTCTTAAAGGGGCCGGATGGCGAAGACGAGTCCCGCACCTAGGGGTTTCGCTTGCGATGCTTCGGTCCATGAGAGAGTCTAAGGCTGGATCTACCACCCATAGTTGTCCGTGTGTCAGCTTCTCAGAATTTCTCAGATGTTTTCATGCAAAGCGGTCATCGTACGCTTCAAGCTCGCAGGTTGGACAAGGACTACCACACGGTCAGCTCCAGCTTCGAGGTGTTGGGGCGGGCAGCTTCCCTGGCGTGCTTCGCAGCATTTGCTTACGGCTTGCAGCAGCTTGCAGCAGCTTGCAGCAGCTTGCTGAGCGGGTGCACTGTTGGAAGCCCTCCGAACGTGCTTGCCAGATTATCGACAATGTGCCGTTGTTGCAGTTTGCCGAAGACGACGTGCCCCACGTGTCGAGCTTACCAAGTGTCCCTTCGCAAGATGTCTTGGCATACATGGCCACTCACCAGGTCGGACAAGGAGGAAAAGCAGCCGTTAGCAAGCTCGACGCTTTTCTCAACAAGCATCATTCAGCTGTCGCCATCTCAGGACCTGCTCAACAGCAAAGTTTTCGGAAGTGTTATGCTTTCGGGGAAGTGATAAACACGCGATGATATCGCACACGGATTATTATTATTACTACTACTATTATTCTCATTATTCTTATTATTATTGTTTTGTTATTATTATGATGATGATTATTATTATGATTAATCTTACTATTATTATTATTAGTATTATTAGTATTATTAGTACTATTAGTACTATTAGTATTATTAGTATTATTATTATGATGATGATGATTATTATGTAGACTGTGCGTGCAAGTCACTTTAATGCAACCTCGCGGCCATTTTGGCTCAAGAGCCTGTTTTTGTTGTGGTTTCTGCTATGCTCTGTTGGTGTTTTCTCTCTGCCTGTGCCATGAGTGTATCTCCCCTGGCTACCTTGGTGCGTCGCCTGAGGAGTGCAGCTGCAACTGATGACGACACTTTGTCTGCTGCCTTCCAGGCTTTGCCGCACCAGGACCTGCTGACTTTGTGCTAATTACCACGCAAGGGAGGTTGTCAGGGAGCACCAGCTGGGCTACGAGAGCGACAGCTCCGGTGAGTATGACCTGCCGGCTGCTACTACCACAGCGGCTGCGTCTACTTCCACCGACTTGCTGGACATTTTTGCTGCTCCTGAGGTCCTGGCTCCTGTGCTTGCTGCATCTGGACCTGCTGATCCAGCTGCTGGTGCTGAGTGCCCTTTGCCTCCGCCAGCCGAGGCACCTGTCGACCTGGGGCCTGAGGACGGAGCCGATGAAGATGCTGCCCGCAACTTACCGCCCTGACTATGCCTGGGACTATGGATGATGATCTGCCGCTTCCTGCTGCTCAGCCTCCTGCCCACGCACCCTGTGGCTCCGCCTCCTGATGGCTCCGCCTCCTGATCTGAGCGCTGGTTGCCCTACTTCCTCCTCGCAAGCAGCTCCTGTGCAGGTCACTGGTCGCTCTGCTGGCTCTGGTGGTTCGATCCCTGGTGCCTCAGTCAGCAACCTGGCGGACCCTGCGACTGTTGCACCTGCTCCTGTGATGCTTGCCCCGCCTGTACAGGACTTTTGGTCGAGTACCCCGTCCTAGGGTACCCCGTCCTACTGTCGTCCTACCGTCGCTTGGAGCAGGAAGGCTCGGCAGATCGGCCTTACGCCGTTGTTCAGGACATCTTCTCCGGACACCCGCTGCCATCTAACATATGGCCTTTGCGGCGTCCTTTGGACGGTTGCCTAAGGTTCTGACAGACCATGGGCACTCCTTGAGTGGCTTTTGCGTCGCCCCCTGTTGGGGCTTTTGTGGTCATTCTTGCAATCGTGCTGTTTCGTACTCTTCCAGGAAGGCACACAAAAACCGCTACTGCGACAAGTGCAGGCCCTAAGGCTCTGCTTCTGCTCCTTGGCACTGGACACTGCCGTATAGTTTTTCTGCTGGCCTGCTGCCCTGATGACACCTGCTATCCGCTCTGGGGTCACCGCCTCTGGGCCTGAAGACGGACTGCGTCTGGCTTGAGCCTTTTGAGTGAGTGCTGCAGCCTGGCTTGCCTGCGCCCTGCATGCATGTGTTGTTGCTGTCTGTTCTGCTGCCGTCTAGCTCTTGGGGGCTGTGTGCGACACTGTGCCTGTTGGCACGGTTCGCGCGTCATGTGGCATACCCCTTTTTCCGGGTGCAGGACGGTTGCTCTGGGCTGGCGCCCGCGGCTTGCGCTTCAATTCCGAGCTTGAGCTCCTTTTCGGTGTCTCTGGCAAGTCTGCTGTGCTGGGCTTGTGCTTGGCCGGTCGCCTAGCGGTCGCAGTTTTTCTTTTTCTCGTGTGGCAACCTGTCAGGTACTTCACGCGACATTGCTCAGGTTTTGGCTTCACAGCCACTGCTCCGGCCTCAGCTCTGCGGCTGCGGTCGCCTTCTTTTAACGACACCTTTTTCAGGTCTGTGCCTACCACCTTATATGTTTTTACTGCTTGGGCAGTCTCTGTGCCGCCTTGTGGCAGGCCTCTGCACCTCTGGTAGGCTGGCTTGGGCCTTAACCCTCCTTTGGTTGTTTTGAGTAGCAGTCGGTGGCTACCTTGAGGTCTTTGCCTACCACTGCCATTCTGGTGGTAGGCAGCTCAGGTCAAGCATCTGGGCGATGCGCCTTCTGACGGGACATTGTCTGCTTTTTCTTGCCTGCTGTTTGAAGCTGGCACCTTTGTCGAGGCTGAGCTCCGCAGCTCTGTTGCAGACGACGATGGGTCTCGCAAGCTGACTCATCAGGAGAGGTCCAGCCGCATGTCTGCCATGCGCACAAAGCTGGGTGCCTGGCCCATTGCTGGCTCCTTTGAACCCAGCAACGCCCTGATTGACCAAGCATTCAGTATGGTCAGTGACTCTGCAGTTCGCTATATCCCTCCTAGCCGCTGCAGCAGCAGGGAACAGGAGGTGGTCTCCGAAAAAGGGACGAACCTGTTCAGGCTGTGGAAGCCTCTGCGCTGCAGGCGGCCAGGAAGCCGTCCCAGCTGAAAGTGGCGTCAGCAACGAGCTTAGACCCGCTTAGGCTTTACCAAGCCTTTAGCCGCCCCAGTGTGGCGCTCGAAGTGGCGAACCTGTGCACGTTCTGTGCTCGATCACGAGACCCACATTCCTGGGTTTTTCGAGCATCTTCATCGTCTGGCCGCTCCGGGGTACCCTGCCCCAGGAGTTGACGCTGTGATCTCTGCTGACCGCGCTGTTTGGCAACAGGTTGCGTCTCACGTGCCTTGGCTCCCTGCTGTTGACGCTGCTGCCGAAGTTGACAAGGCCCTGACAGCTGCTGCCGGCTCACCTTCTGTTGCCTTTCACGTCCTGCCTCGCGAGTGCAGCGTGTCCTGGACGAGGCCCCCAAGCCTCCTGGCAAGTTTTCCCAGAAAGGTGACGGCAAGGACAAGGAAGGCAAGGGCAAGCCCTTTCTGTCCCCTCTGCCCTAACAGATCTGGACCCCAGGCGTGACGGCGACCCTCTGTGCTTCGACTGTTTACTTGGCTCATGGGTGCAAAGGCAAGCAGTGTGAGAAAGGGCTTCATCTGTGGATGCGCTGCGGTTCTGCTGACCACAGCGCCCACGCCTGCACTATAACTGACCTGCTCAGGCTGCGGCGATCGCGCTGCCGGCCGTGGCTGGCCTTGCTGCGCAAGATGACTTAGTGGTTGCATCCCTCCGGCCTCTGCCTCAGTTGTCCCCACTTTCAAGGTTCCTGCAGCTCTTGTGGAAGGTTCGTCTGTAGCCAACAGTTTTCCTGCTGCTTCTGAGGCCAGTTCTCCCGCTGACTGGCTGCCGCCTCGGGTCACGGCCCACGGCTCAAGTTCTGGTCTCGACCAGCCTCGTGTTTTTCCTGTGCATTTTTCGGACTGCACGCCATCTACCGCTGTCACCTCTGCTGCGCTGTCACAACGCACTGCACACAAGGCAGTCGTAGGAGGCAGGGTTACTCAGCAAGTGTTTGAAGCAGCGTGGTTTTGACACCATTGCCGTCGACGTCAAGGACACCCACGGCCATGCTTTGCTGAAGCTTGATCTCCTGTCCACTGGCGCTTCTGTGCTGTCGGACGTCCGTAAGTCTGGTCACGTCGCCTATGTTCACCTCGCACCACCTTGCAGCACGAGCTGCTGCGTCGCCTGATGGGCTGCCAGGGTTGAGTTTCAGACATCGGTGCCAGGTCAGCAATGCAAATCATCGTTTGTATGCCCTGCCTGCTCAGGTCTGCCTCTACTGTCATGCTCAGGGCATTGCATGGAGCATCGAGAATCCCAGCGGGAGGCTGTTTTAGGCCACCACGCCGCTCAGCAGGTTGTGCCGGATGGTAACTTGCCTTCGACAGTTGGAGCAGCTCTGCCACCCCACCCAGGGCCATGCGCGTTTGCCTTGGGGCCGTATGTCTGATGGCACCTGGAGCGCCTCTTCTGAGGCGGCATACCCTATGCCCGCCTCTCTGCCGGTTCTGCGCCTTTCTGCTCAGTACGCATTTTGAGAATCGCCTGCCCTCTGCTCAGGACTCAGCTGCCGTCAACTGGACTCCTGCCTCAGGTTTGCATCGTGCCAGGTCGACCTTGGGGCTTTTTCCTCGAGCACGCAACGCGTCTGAGGCAGCCGACCCATTCTTTGAGCGCACCTGCGTTCGAGTACCCTTGGACACGCCGGCCACTTCGTTGGTTCCCGGCTGTGCTGTGTCCTTGCCGGGAGCCCCCAAGGGTTGCGCAAGGTTCTTTCTGTCGACAGAGAGTCCAGCTGCTAGCTTTTGTGCATAGGTGTGCCCTGCGAGTCTGAGGAGTTCATGTTATCCGCGGTCTCGCATCCTGCTGAGGTGCCGCCACAGCTTCCATCCGATCTGGATTACTGTGCACTGTCTTGAGACATGTTCTGCTGCTGATATTGCCAGCAAGCGTTGTAACTTTTTGCACGGTGTGCTGCAACGAGCCTCGGAACTCGCATCCTTGGAAAGAGTCTTTCACGCTGGGCTTGCGCCTCACTGCAGACGTGTTCTTGAGGGCAAGCGTCTCCTGCTCCTAAAAGAGCTGCTGCACGGTCTGGGACACGAGGACTCCTCCCTGGTCATCAAAACTGTGTCTGCTGCCTCCTTCTGCCCTGACGGCACTCGGAGTGGCCGCTGGCAGGACTGCATCAGTGTCTGTGACTCTGCATCTGTGGATTCCAGCCCATCTGACGGCCTGAATCGTTCTGCGGGCAGCAGCGCGTCTGGCATCGGACTGGGCTGCCCCGGACCTCTTGGTTGCTGAGGACAGCAGCAGCTCTAGTGGCTCTGAGCTCGCCTCTGAGGACAGCTGTGACGAGGATGAGCAGCAGGTTGCCGCGGCACCGCACTTTCTGGAAAACCTGCTCAGCCTGGGTGGCTATGCTGTGGCCAAAAAGTCCTCTCGACTACAGCATGTTCTGAAGCAGGAATCTGGTCGTCTTCTGTGTGGAAAGCCGTTTACCGACAACTTCGCTGTCAGCGCTTCTGTTGACGGTTCCGCCAGTTCTTGCCGCACTTGCAAAACTTTCTGTCTGGCTACAGTTTTAAAATTTTGTGTGTCGGGGACTTCACATCATCGCGGGCATCTGACTGCATCTGTTCGCACTGTCTTCACTGTCAGCCTTGGGCCTTCGGCATCTGTAATCTTTTTGCTGCACCTGACAACCAGCTTGAGCTGTGCCCCACGTCTGTTAAAAAGACAGTGTCCGCTTGTGCGTCTGTTTCTTAGTAGAGCGATTGCATTAATATTATCGTTAATATGTGGGTAATTCTCTAGATTGGGGTCGCCTTTTGGGGGTCCTTTGTATAGGGGTGCCGTACTATATTGGGGGACCTAAAAAGGGACCCGCATTTAGAGAACTACCCATGCATTATTGTTGTTATTACATCATTTGATAATAATAATATTGTTATCATTTGATTATTATATAGTAATAATCATAATCAATATCTTCATCTTCTTCCAGGAAACCGTTGAAATAATAATAATAATAGTAATAATAATAATCATAATCATAATCATAATCATAATAATCATAATAATCATAATAATCATAATAAGCATAATAATCATAATAATCATAATAATCATAATAATCATAATAATCAAAGTAATCATCATAATCAGAATAATCAGAATAATCATAATAATCAAAGTAATCATAATAATCATAATACTCATAATAATCATAATAATCATCATAATCATCATAATCATCATAATCACAATAATCATAATAATGATGGTAATAATACTAATAATAACAATAGTATGCATAATAGTAATAGCAATAATACTCATAATTTCAACAACATAATACTAGTAATCCTGTTGATGCGGGGACTCTCTTCCTTCCCGACCTCATTCACATAATACGACTTTCGTTGGAGAGGGGAGGGGGCAAAAACAACCACTGTCACGCTTTGCCTTGCCTCCTCCCTGATCCGTAATAATAACAGGCAATTCATTCATTCATTCATTCATTCATTCATTCATTCATGAATTCATTCATTCATTCATTCATTCATGAATTCATTCATGAATTCATTCATGAATTCATTCATGAATTCATTCATTCATTCATTCATTCATTCATGCATTCCTTAATTCGTTCGTTACTTCATTCATTCATCCATTCATTCATTCATTCATTCATTCATTCATTCATTCACTCCATCCATCAATCAATCAGTCAATCAATCAGTCATTCAATCAATCATTCAATCAATCATTCAATCAATCATTCAATCATTCAATCATTCGTTCATTCGTTCATTCAATCACTCA